TTATCCTTAAAATGTAGGGATTGAAACAGAGCTTTGTCTAGGGTCCCTTATGGTTCTAGCATTCCATGATTATTTGGACTAGTTTATTATGTGGTTTCCTCATTTCGTTCTAAGCTCTGTATCTTCCAAATCCACTTCAATATTCTAATATTTCAAGAATCTATGACTTCACTGGGACGGGTGTTTCCTCCAACATTACACATTGCAACTCTTCCAAACCTCAACTGACGGTTTTCAAGAGTTGTTAGGAAGGGGGGAAAAAATCATCCCTTTATGGCCAGCTTTCTGGTAATGAGCCTCTATGAGTTTAAGTAGGCAGGTCCTTGACTATAAGACACAGAGTCTGTCAATGGACCAGTCGATACTTGAAACCTTTCCAACTGAGAAGAAATGGATTCTTGCTAGACTTGAATCGCCACAGAATTTAAATAGACAATGAATTTCTCCCAAGGAATTCTAGCTTTCTGTTTAAGAGTAAGTTTTTGGCCAGGAGTGGTGGCTCATGCCCATGGCTCCTGCAACTGAAATGAACCGTGAATGGCCACAGCACTTGTGCACCATAGGCATAACTTTTGAGAACCCAGGCAAATACTGAAGCTGAAGCTTAAATATTTTGGACACACACTGAGAAGACAGGACATATTGGAAAAGACCCTATGTTGGGAAAAATTGAAGGCAAAAGGAAAAGGGAACAGCAGAAGATGAGATAGATAAATAGCATCACAGAAATAACGAATGTGAACTTGGACAGACTTGGGAGATAATGGACCATAGAAGGGTCTGGTGGAGGAAGACTTCAGAGGCGCAAACTCATTGATCCATAGACGGTGGGAGGGGTAAGAGAAAGAGTTCAAAATGACTATTGGATTGACGGTTTGGGGGCTTTGATATCACGGCACAATAATATAAAAGCTCGTATTTATATAGTATTTTAAGGTTTACAAAACGCTGTCCTTACAATAGAGAGTCGTTGAAGTAAGAATTATCATATTTTACTCTCCTTATTTTGCAGATGAAGACATTAAGGCAAACAGAGGTTAGGAACTTGCACAGGGTCACACAACCAGCAAATGTCTATGGACAGATTTGAACTCAGATCTTCCTGACTCCAGGTACAGTGCTCTATCTAGAGTGCCACCTGGTCACCTCCTGTAAGATAGGAGTCCTAATATTTTATTATCCTATTTCACAGTGGAGAAAACAGAAGCTCAGCAAAATTAAGTAACCTACCCAAGGTCACACAGCTATAATGTGATAGAGCCAGGATTCTAATCCAGTTCTCCTGACTCCAAGTTCCATTACAGTCTAGGGGTTCTTAATCTGCAGTTTGTGGTTTTTAAAAAAAAAATTATTTTTGCTAATTGTATTTCAATGTCATTGGTTTTCTTTGTAACTCCATGTATTTTATGCATTTAAAAACATTCTGAGGAGTCCACAGGCTTCACTGTTAAAGGGTTCCAGGACACAAAAAAAGTTAGAAAATTTTGCACTATACTGTGTCTGCAAAAGCTAAATGAAGTGGAAGGCTGAGGCAATTAATCAGATTAACCAAATACATACTCTCGCTTCTGTGTTTCTGTCTTTTTTTCTCTCCGTATTTCTCTGTCTCTCTCCTTTCTGTTTGTTTCTGCCTGTCTCTGTCTCTGTCTCTCTGTCTCTCTCTCTATCTGTTTTTACTGACTCTATCTTACCCAGGCCAGAAATTGTAGTAGCCACTCATGGCCAGCCCCAATACTAATCAGCAAAGAAGCTTTAACATGGTCTGTTTTTCCAACCTGAACTCGTTTGGCTCTCCTCAGGCAGCCTTGTGGGCCTCAGGTCCTGGGGGTTCCCCATATTAGTGCCAAACTAAATATGGACACCCTATAAACTTTATTCTTACTACAACTCAAAAATCCTAATTTCAAGGAATCTACCAGTTCCAGGCTCCCAAGTAGTTCCTAATACAGGCATGAGCTACCATTCCTGGCCAAAACCTTGCTCTTAAGGGAAAGTTTCCTTAAGAGAAATTCACTGTCTGGTTAAATTCTGTGGTAATACAAGTCTAGCAGGAGTCCATCACTATGAGAAGGCAAACACATGGCTAGTGACCTTCTCCAAAAGGGAAGTCTTCATAGGGAGGCCTTCACGATTACTCAAAGGCCAAAATTATATTTAGAGCCCAAATGTCCTGCTTCTCACCCCAGTCCTGATTGTATGTGCTATGATGAGTCAATCTTGGTATTAAGTTACCAGAGACTTAGGTAGATACAACTCTATTTAACTGCTTTTTAACTGCTTTTCAGAAGCCAAGTCAGGATTTTGTCAGAAAGCCATTTTCACACTATAGACTTGAAGTAAGTGTCCAATTCCCCTTTGTGTGTACTTGCCACTCTGTTTTATCTCCACTAAAATTACTTTCATAATGCATCTCATTTTCAAACTGTGGCTCATTAGTTTTTAAACTGTCAAGACATACTTCCAGCATGGTATGGTGGGTAAAAAAAAAAAGCATCAAAGTTAGAATCATAAGATCTTGTTTTGAAGTCTGATTCTGTCACCTAGGTGACTTTCCTCAAGTTATTCTACCCCACTGAGCCTCAGTTTCTTCATCTGCAAAATAAGGGCTTTAGACTAGATCAGAGGTGTGAAACATGCAGCCTGTAGCTGATGTGGCCTGAATCAGATTAAAATGTGATTGGGAAATACTTAATAAAATAAATAAAAAATACAATAAAGCATTTTTTTAAAATTACATTTTAAATTAAGTCAATATGAGGCACACAGGGATCCTTATGTATGGGTAAATAGCCCTTGTTTCTTTTAAGTTTGGCACCATTGAACTAGATGACTTATTGGTCATTATATATATCATCATATAGGCTCCTTCCAATCCTAGATTCTATGCTCTTAGGATGTTCTCTCCTCTTTAATCTACGGCAAAAATTCTGCAATATTTTCCTCCTCCAGTATGCATCCAAGACTGTGTTAACAGAAGTAAAAGAAGGTTGAGAGGTGTTCAGGCAATGAATTGCCAGGTCGACATATCTGGAAAACGATGTCTAATTTAGACCTCAAAAGTTGGGGGCCACGTTATCAGAAACCTATAGAGGGTAACTCTCAATAGGTTTATGTTGGGTTGGGAGAATTCATTGTTTCTCTATCACTAATCTTGTGTAGGAGTAAAATAGTTCTTTAAGCAAGAGAACCAGGAGTGGTGGAAAGCACAGCTGAATTTGGCATCAGAGGGACGGGGTTTGAATCCCAGCACTTCTACTCACTGTCTGTGTGACCTTGGACAATCCATTTAACTTCTCTGTACCTCAGTTTCCTCTTCTGTCAAATAAAGTGGTTGGCTTAGATAACCTCTAAGGTCCTTTCCAGCTCTAAATCCTATAGTTCATTGCTATGTTACATGTTAGAGATAGATAGAGATGTGTTATGGCCAACAGATGTATGGCAGTTGCTGGAAACAGGATAGCAGTTCTGTCCTGGAGATGAGGCGATAGGCTCAGTTCTGGAGTTGCATCTAAGAGAGATGGCCAGATAGAATCCTTTCTTGGGTGCTTCCTACCACACCGGGTAGAACCAGGCTCATTTTTCCAGTATGGGTCAGGGCTGGGATGGGAGCACAACAAAAGACGTAACAATCTAAGCTGCAGCAGTGAAAAAAAAATTCCTACTAACTTCCCTCTAAGAACAAGGTTTGGATTTTTTTTTAAAGTTGAATTATCTGGATAATTGCCTCAACCTTCCCCTCCATTTGGCTCGTGTAAACATAGTCTTGGATTGTTTCTACATGATGTCAAAACAAAAATTTTAGTCAATTAACTGGTTGTTTTGTTGACATGGTACCAAAAAAACTGAGCCAACTGCTTTATTTATTTATTTATGTTACTGAATTAACTGGTTTCAACTGTAAGATGTGATATGATAACAACCCTGGCTGCTATGACCTCGTAAGAAGGCTACCTGGAGTCTGTAAATTTCTTTCTTTCTTTTTTTTTTTTGATAACTGTATTCAATATAATTGGTTTAATTTCCAATCCTACATATTTTATTTTAAGCATTTAGAAATATTCCTGGATTTAAGACATTTCCAAAGGCCTCATGATGGAAAATGCTATCCACATCCAAAGAAAGAACTATGGAGTTTGAATGCAGATCAAAGCATACTATTTGCTTTTTTTTTCTTCTATTGTGTTTTATTTCCTCTTTCTGGTAGTTCCTCCTATTGTTCTATGGTTCTAATTCTTACTTACAACATCACTAATGTGAAAATATGTTTAATAGAAATGTATATGTATAGCCTATATCAGATTGCATGCCGTCTTGGGGAGGGAGATGGGGAGGGAGGGGGAGAAAAATTTAAAACTCAAAAGCTTATGGAAGTAATTGTTGATAATCAAAAATAAATTAATTTAAAAGAAATAAAAAGAAATATTCCTGGATCCATTAGCTTCACTAGAAAGAGTTTCAGGAATGCTCATTAATCTTTGGACCACACTGAGAATCACAGGTATGGTAGTGGATAGAGTGCTGATATTGGAGTCAGGAAGAAGTTAAGTTTGGTTCTTCCCTCAGATACTTAACTGTGTGACTAGGCAAATCACTTAAATTCTCTGTGACCCAGTTACATTGGGACATATATCTAGACCTAGAATGGGGCAGTGAGGTGACTCGGTGGATAGAATTCCAATCCTGAGCCTGAGTCAGGAAGACCTGAGTTCAAATCTGAACTCAGACACTTACTAGCTTGCTCTGTGACTCTGGGAAAGTCACTTAATCCCTGTTTACCTTAATCCACTGGGGAAAGAAATGGCAAACCACTTCAATATCTTTGCCAAGAAAACCCCATGGACAGGATCATGAGAGACAACTGGACTGAACGACAACAATGGAAGATGAAAGTGATCATGAGAATGATAATTAAATTATTATTTGAATGGCTAAGACTTTCTTGCTACTGATAATCACAAAACCTTCTTATAAATTTTGAAAGTGAATAGCAAAATACTTACATTTCCCGCCCATTTCCAGACATCTTGAATCCCCCAAAGGGACTTTGGGCATTTAAGGCGTTGTAACAATTGATCCTGAATTAAGAAAAGGTGAGAAATCGTCAGTGGAATCTCCTTAATAGGGAAAAAAGGCAATGGGCTAGTTACTCTTATAAAAAGAAAATGCATTTTTAATAAGTAAAGAAAAATGATATGATTTAAATTTAATTAGATTTCCTGATTTAATCCAATTTAATTTAATTTAACAAACACTAAGTACTTAGCACTGGGGATGCTCGGTGGCCCACTGAATAGAGTGCCAGACATGAAATCAAGAAGACTCATCTTCCTGAGTTCAAATCTGGTCTCAAACACTTGTTGCATTGGACAAGTTCATTTAACCCTATGTGCCTCAATTTCCTCATCTGTAAAATGAACTGGAGAAGGAAATGGCAGACCACTCCAGTATCTTTGCCAAGAAAATCCCACAAAGGCTCACAAAGAATTAGACAGGACTGGACAAAAATGAGGATAAAAAGACAAAAGTTTAAAAATCTCTGCCCTCTGAGAGCTTATATTCTACTAAGGGCATACAACCTGTACATAGATAAGTATATAGGAAGTAATTTCAACGGGGAGAAGAGTACTAACAACCAGAGGAATTAAGGAACGCTTTGGGTAGGAGGTGCACGCTTGAGTTAGATGAAATTGCAAACACAAGGTACAGGACGTTTTGACTGAAATAGAAAATTCATGAAAGGATAGTAATATGAAATAGGAATGGAAATGTGGGTAGGAACCAGATTGTGGAAGGGTTGAAATGCTGAGAATGTTACTTTATCCTAGAAGCAACAGGTAGCTACTGAAGGTTTTTGAGTAAGGATGTAGATCATTGACATGAAGGAGCCACCCAGATATACAAAGGAACAGAAGTAGAAGATAGAGTGCTGGATTGCCTTTCTTCCTTTCCATCCCATTTGAAGAGTGTTGGCATGACGAGGTTATTTCTGCAGGCAGTTAGTGCCAGTTCTACCCACTAAAGCAGAGACTTGGAGAGAGAAAAAAAGGGAAAGACTCACCAAACAGTCCCAGCCTGCATCGCTGCTGACACTGTGAGTGCTTTGTTGATATCATTTGTAAAAACAGCAGCGACGAGTCCAAGGTCAGAATTGTTGGCTCGCTCTATAACTTCGTCCACAGTCTTAAACCTCAGGATTTCCTGAACTGGCCCAAAAATCTGCAACAAGGATGAAATGTTTTGCATTAAGCCACTTAAAGTGATTTTGTGATGGCTTTGCCACTATTTTGCCTGTTACCCCTCTCCATTTATTGATTTCATATATGTGTGTGTGTGTGTGTGTACACATATACACACATACGTATAGTGTATCACATGTATATGTATCACATAGATTGCATACATGTTTGTACATATGCATATATGTGTGTACACATATACACACATACATATAGTGTATCACATGTATATGTATCACATAGATTGCATACATGTTTGTACATATGCATATGTGTGTGTGTGTAATCAATAATATAAAGGTATAATCAATACCCTTTATTGATTCCCTTAATAAAACTTAATTCCAGCAGCACCGTACAACAAAATATTCTAAACTTTCTAAGAACAAAATCAAATAAATAGATTGACTCTGATGTTTGCATAACATTCAGAGTCTGGTTCCCTTGAACACTGGAGGGCATGTATGCCTTAGCACACGCACAAGTGTGTTTCTGCATGTATGCGCACGTCTTCACGTATGTAGAAGACATGCTCTCACGTTGTACTAAGGACCTCTCCAGCTCGAAAATTCTGGGATTGTCAAGCTGGGAAACCTCCATGTTACATATCTGAAGAAGAAACAGAGGACTAAATGAAGAAGTGGTTGATCCATTCCTGAGCAGGGAGATGCATTCTTTGCTTCCCCTCTCTACACAGAGAGGAGCCTTGATTCCTGACCTATAGGCTGGAAAATTAGTACAATGTCAGGGCAGATTGATATATGAGAAAGAATGATAGTCTTGGAGCCTAGAATATATCACATCTATACTTGGAATCTCTGTGACTATGGACACTATAAATCTGTTTCTTCTTCTGTAATACAGGGAAAACAATAACTATAGTAAGGCACAAATAATATATGCAAAGCATTTTGCAACATTAAAGCATTATATTCATATCTGTTATTATGAAAATGGGTAAATTGACATTTGCATTACAAATCATGGCAGGGTTATTGTGGGAAAAGTAGCAAACCTTAAAGTGTTTATGTAAATATGAGTTATGAAAAGTTAACTACCATAAGAAGATTATTATGGAAAACAAAGACCACAATTATTTGGTTTGCTCCATGGGATTCTATCTCATCTACCCATCTCACAGCTAATTCCTTTTCTTTGGTTTCCAAACTATTTGTATTTGGAATGGCAGAGCATTTGTATTTGTATTACTTAAGCTATTTAAAAAAAAATAATAAATCCAGGAAATACAACTTCTCAGACTTTCTGCTAACGCACTCCAGAATGCAACCCTAGGGAAATCTCTGACTCTCTTAACTGAGATATTGGGTACCTCTTCCTTGGCAATCCGCATGTCATCAGTAACATTGGAAAACACAGTGGGCTCAATGAAAAAGCCTTTTCGGCCTAGGCCTTTGCCTCCACATTCCAGCTTGGCCCCCTCTGCCACGCCACTCTGGATGAGCTCAAGGATCTTGTTGTACTGTTTCTTGTCGATCTGCAAAAAGAAATTACCTTGTCAACATAAGTAAGAAAGTCTGCTATGAAGATGGAAATGGATAAATGAGTGTGGTATCAATCAATCAGTTGACAAGTATGTATTAAGCACATTCTATGTGCTAAATACTCTGCTGGATGCTAGCGATATAAAGACAGAAATGAAACAGTCCTTATCCTTACGTAGTTTATATTCTATTGAGGAAATAAGTGTGTGTGTGTGTGTGTGTGTGTGTGTGTGTGTATCTGTGTGTATGTATATGTATGTATATAGGTATGTGTGTATACATATATCTATATGTGTCAATATACATGCACAGATGTGCATTTGTGTATACATGTGTAGATATCTATCTATATATATATATGTGTGTGTGTGTATCCGTATACATATATGTGTGTGTTTTGAGGATTATCACTCAAGCAGTACAGACCTTAAGTGAATGTGAAATATCTATTCCTCAGTTTCACAAGTCTCCCCAGAGTTTTTATCTCCAGAGAGAGTATAACAGAAATGAGAGATGATCATTTATATTTTGATTATGTGCTAATGAATTCTTACAAGTTGTGTGTTTCAAGCATTTCTTTTTTGGAAGGAAGAATAAATAGCTGCCTTGTACTTGATATTCACTACTTTGTATGTTGAATAAGTTCTCTAGAAAACACCTTGTTTGCCCCTTTTGGGGAGACCCTTCACAAGTCAAATCTGTGTTTTATTTGCATTTTATTTAAGAGCTCATCCTTATTTCCCAGTGGAAGCAAAATGACAAAGAAAAGAGCCTAAAACCCCCTATTTGGAGTCTGGGTCCACTAGAAATGGATCTGGGTACATTTGGATATAAAGCTAGGATCCCTTTGGGATGGAGGAGGAGAGGCAGGATCAAGGCTATAATACAAACAGTAAGTATAATCAAGATAAATACAAAGGATTTGGGGGGGGGAGGTGAGGGGATACTGACAGCTGGAGGATCAGGAAAGGCATCCTATGAAAAGTTCCTTCATTTGTACTTTTTTAAGTTCTTGGCTTTATGTCTAGGAACTGAGGTACCGTATGGCTTTGAAAATAACGGCCACCAGCAACATCCCTTATAATCATGAGTAGTGGCCCTAAATAGGAGGGAGGCAGGCTGCTAGATTGAAAGGTGGCTAACTTACCCACTTAGGTCATTTACATGAAGAATAAGAAATCAAAATCAAATCAGTCTTATGGAAAGTGCACTGCTTGTGAAGGTGGCCAAAGACTTGTAAGATGCTTTACAAATTAGAAAGTGCTATTTAACTATGTGCTATTATTGTTGTTGAAATTATCAAGGCAGGATTGCTTTGTGTGTCTGAACGAGGCTTTTGGAAGGTGGTATGCTTTTAAACTGTAGGGGTTTTTTTTATTGAAAAACAAATATACAACTTGGAAAGGGCATGTTTTCTGTAAGTTCCTGTAATACTTAGAGAGGAAAGTATGAAATGCTCACTTTTAAAGGCTAGTCACTAATCAGCATAGTCAGTTGAAGCTGGTTCTTATAAGATGACAGGTCATTTATCTTAACAGTTCAGATAAAAGCCTTCCTTCACTTGAGTTTTTTTTCTTTATTTTCTTTGTTTTTGCTTGAATTGCCCTGATAAATGCCTGGATCTCCATTTCCCTTTTGCAGTAAAGACATAGTATATCTGTCCAGACCTAAAGTGACATTGGTCCTCATAAGAAGTTTTCTCGGGACAACTGGCCTATTCTCATAGGTACTTCTGGGTCTTCTATAAAACCAGATCTCCATTTGGTAAAACTTCCCAGAGCAGCACAAGAGAGCTCACAGTCAAAGGATGTAACTCCATTCTCTAAAAGAGACATTTCCTCTTTTCTCTACTTTTCTTCCCCCATCCACCCACCCTTTGAAGGAATCATTTTATGTAGGAGATGTCAGATAGGAATGCTGAGGAGCTCAATGCAAGACCCAGGTTCAAGTGGTACCTCTGATATCTGCTGGCTATGTGACTCTGGGCAACTCTCTATAAGTTGCACAGAATGTACAGACCTTCAGTGTAGAGGGTATTCTCCATAACAGCAAAATCTCAGGTCCAGTCCTATTCCTATCCCTTGCTATAAAATGCTATCACCATTCTCTAAATTGCAATAGACTTGGTTGACATGCTTACCAATACATTCCAACCATGACTGATTTAACATTTACCTTCTGTAGGGCTGCACAGAAGCTTAGCACTCAGGTAAAGTCTATGCTTTGAGAACCAGATTGTACAGATCATTCCTATAGATCAAGGATTTGAACACCTAGCAACTCACTCCTCTTTTCTAGACACTGGGCCAGGTGCTCTTGTAGGCCTAAGCAATACTTCACATCCTAACAAGTCCTCGGTGCTCTTAAGCAAGTCCTAAGCCTTGCCTAAATGGTTGAAGAAAATAATTAGAAGGAATGACATCCTTGTTTTTTTCAGAAGCAAAAATAGTGTTGAAGAAATTGCCAGAAATGAAGGCTATCCAGATGCTAATTTGAAAGGGAAAGACTCCTCCATGGCTGAATTTCTAGTCACATTCAAGAAAACAAGCAAAGTTCTTTGTGTGTTTGTAGGGAGAGAGGAAGTAAAGAAAAAGAGACTTAACATTGAGGGCCCTCCTTAGAATCCACAGAGGCTCTATGCAGGTGCCTATGTAAAGAAATGAAAGATTTCTTATTACTTACCTGAGGGCCTTGTTCAGTGGTCGGGTCAAAAGGACTCCCAACTATTCGCCTCTTGGCACGCTCCACGCTTCTTCGAACAAACTCCTCATAGATGGACTCTTCCACAAAAATGCGGGATCCTGCTGTACAGCACTGACCTTGGTTGAAGAACACTCCCTGGTGGGCCTGCTCCACAGCGTAGTCCACTGCAAGATGAAAGTCGCCATCTTTTCCGTGTTGCCCTCATCCACTACATTCCCCACTAGTGAAGCCAACACCTGTGTCTTTTCCCCAAAGCACCCAATGCAATGCTATACATGAGAGAAATGGGCTGGAAAGGCAACTGAGGTGAGATGTCGATGGAATTGGTGTTTGGTGCCCAACTGGTATCAAGGGGTAACTTTTATTTTTAATAGGAACAGGAAAGAGAATATGCCCTTCACTCTTCTGATGAACATATATCATATAATGCCACTCATAATAATGATACCTTTGTCCTTATTCATTCCTCGTGTCCTTATTCATTCCTTTAGCTGCTAAAGGAATAATGTTATCCAAGTTTCTATTAAATGGATGATATATCCTTTTGATAGAGGGAATAATTAAAAGAGAGGGTGAATTTTTAGCTAGGTAAGGGACAAACCGGGAGGTTAAACAACTGGACTTTCTGATGAAATCAAGTAAGCAAAGATGTACTAGGTGTTTATATATGTGCCAGATGCTGAATAGAAGAGGTAGCCCATGATAGTAGAGGGGGCACTGGTGTAAGAGTCAAAAAGACTTGGGCTTACCTCCTGCCCTTAGACATTTATTAGCCACGTAAATTTGATCTGACTGAATTGATCTTACTAAGCCTCAGTTTCATCATCTGGGAAATGGGAGGGTTGGATCTGCTGGCCTTCAAGGTCCATTCTGGCTAACAGCGTGCTGGTAAATGCTTAACAACTATGTCTCTACGGGGGGGAAATGCATGCACAACCCATTTAAATATAATCTGCATTAATATTTTCTCCATCACTTTCTTAAGCCTAGGAATGAACCACACAGTAAATCAAGCCCCAGTTCGTAGCATTTGTTGATTTCTAAGGTGTAAATGTTCACCTTGAAAATACAACAATCGACTCTCACAAGCCGGTTTGAGTGGGCTCTAGTACACCTCAACTTCTGGCTTTAAATCTGTGATCCTATGACCACATCACTTACAAAATCATCGACCCACTGATAAAACTGAAGATTAAAAAAATGGGGCCACCACGTGAAAAAAGGGATTCAGTCTGTTCTTCCTGGTCCCAGAGGAGAGAACTAGGAACAATTAGTAGAAGTTGAAAAAAAAGGCAGAGTTTGGAATTCCCCCGACCATGAGGGCTGTCTAAAAGTAGCATGGGCCACCTTGGGAATCAGGGAGCCCTTCATCAGTATGGGACATCAAGAAGAAGCTGAGGGACCACCCGTTGGGGATTCTGTCACGGGGATTCTTGTTCTGATACAAGTTAGGATACATGATGTGTGTGGTTCCTTCCAACTCTGAGGAGGCATAAAGATGAAATGGGGAAAATCTCCTTTCCTGGAGAGGCTTAGAAAAAAAGTAGGGCCCTCAGTGATCCAGGGTAGTTTAAATGTCACATGATTCAGAAGCATCACAAGAGTTTATTACTGTATCCCTAGGATTAAAAGTGGCCTCTTTTTATTCACCTGTTAATTCATAATGTTTCTCTCCTCTACTTCTAATATAAAATAATTTTTTCTTCAAGACAACTGGGATCCAGCTAAGGATGCTTAGCTTCAAAGACCAGGCTCTTAGTAGCTTTTTTTTAAAAATAGAGATCAAAAAGAAGAGGAGAAGAAACGGAAGATAGGAGGGGAGGGGAGTAGACAGAGGAGAGAAGAATAGAGAAGAGGGGAGGGGAGGGGAGAAGAAAAGAGGAGAGGAGAGGAAAAGAGAGGAGAAGAGAACAGGAGAGGAGGGGAAAAGAGAAGAAAAGAGAAGAGGAGAAAGAAAGGAGAGGAGAGAAAAGGAGAAGAGACAGAGCTTATGTGTAACTGTCCTGGGAAATGTGTAAGATCTGTAGCTGACTTACAATCAGCATCTGCAAAAATAATATTTGGACTCTTCCCTCCAAGCTCCAGAGTTACTCTCTTCAAATTACTCCTTCCAGCTGCTTCTTGAATCAGTTTTCCAACCTGAAAGGAAAGGAAGTGGAGAAAGGTTTAACATGCACTATCATCAGAGAGTTGGCAGCCATAGCCTGCTACGGACAGCAATTGGTTGTAGCAGTAAATAAATAATCATGTATTGAAGACTTATTGGTGGAATGACACAAAGATAGCTCACAGGGCCTTTCCCAGAAGAGGACAGCAGGCGAGATAATCAAACTTGTCAATGAAGGATATTTTTTTTAGGTCTTTAAGGTCTATGGAAATATCTTGGAGAGTTGTTTTACTATCATAGCTGAAATGAACAGAAAAAAGAGAGGAGGGGAGAGGCTTCTAATCTGGTACCTTGAACACTGAGTGATCTTCTGTCTGAGTAACTGGCATGCATGCCATGGCCCAAATTAGCACAGTGAGATTTCTAAACTTGGATCATGGCCTTGGTATTCAGATTTTGGCCTTTAAAGAAAGCCAAACTGCTCTCTATTTGATATCAAAAGCAACTACATGTCCAACTACAGATGGATGTAAAACACATTATTCAAGTGTTCTTTTTAAAAATGCCACGTATTACAATAAACTAATGAAAGAGACAGCGAAATGCTGTGTAATTAAAATAGACCTAGAGAAGAAACGAGAAAATGAACTTTTCCTTTCCTTGGGAGCTGGGGATAGGAGAATACTATAGTGCACAGTGTTGCATAAACAGTGATGAGGTCCCCAAGAAAGTTGGTCTTGGCCTCCCTGAAGGTCCTCTCACAAGACACTCCATCTCCCAGCTTCATGAATGTTTACTTGCTGTCCCCCATGCTTGGAATGCTCTCCCTCCTCATCTCTGCCTCCTGGCTTTCCTAGCTTCCTTCTTATCCCAGCTAAAATCCTACCTTTCTCAATCTCCCTTAATGCTAATACTTTCCCTCTGAAGTTGTCTCCAATATATCATATAGATAGAAAGATACCTTGTTTGTATATAGTTATTTGCATGTTGTCTCTCTCATCTGACATAAGTCCCATGAGAGCAAGAACTGGTTTTTGTTTGTTTTTGCCTTTCTTTTTATCCTCAACATTTAGCACAGTGCCTGGCATATAGTAGGCAACTAATAAATGCTCACTAACTGATCGTTACAAGGGATGGCTTACTGGTTAGGAGAAGAGAGGGCAAGGAGGTATAAATAGAAATGACTGGACATAAAAATAAAAGACATCAACAAAACATTTTTTTAAGGTCAAGGATTAGAATGTGATTCCTTTAATACAAACTTAGGACTGGAAAGTGGCCATCAAATATAGCTCCTGCCTCTAGGTAGGACTGCTTAAAAGAACTCCAGACAGCTCTAGGGCTACTTTTAATATTAAACTATAGGCCTATACTACTTATCTAAAATCTGACTCAAGTAACTGGAAATGGATTTGAAGGTGAGAGTTGGCAAAAGAATAGCCATAAATGAAGCTTGAATGAGTGCTCTGCTTGGTCAGGTTGGTGACCCAAAGACTAAAAAAATGGAGTGTTTCAGGTACTAGGGAGAAAAAGATGGGAGAATCAAGAAAGAACAGAAATATAAAGGAGCTGGTGTTGGTAGAAACTCATGGAAAGGAAGGCAAATGGACAGAACAACAAAGGGATATGGGGTAGAGGTAAACTAAAGCAAACAGAGGCAGTGTGTCAGTCAACTAGCATTTAGTAAGCATTTACAGTATGTCAGGTATTGTGCTAAAACTGGGGGTTCAAAGAAAGGCAAAAAGAAGTCCCTGCTCTCAAAGAGCACCCCCTCTAATGGGAGAAGACAACATGCAAACAACCATGCACATACAATTTATATAAAGGATAAATTGGGAGTGTCTGAAGGGAAAGAGTGCTGGCTTTTCATTCAGAGGATCTAAGTTCTTCTGCTTACTTTGCTAGTTGCTATCTCAAATGAAATGATGCATGTAAAGTGTTTTGCAAACTTGAATACCCTATATAAATGGCAGGTAGTGTTATTACTTATGTGACCTTGAATAAGTTGCTTAACTTCTATGGACTTCAGTTTCATTATTTATAAAATGAGGAGGTTGGCAATCATCTTTTCAGCTCTAAATCCTATGATGGTATGTAGGGTACTACACAAGGGTAGAGAACATAACTTATGCTATCATATCAATTTGTCAGCAAGTATTTACATGTCTAGCATTGTTACAACAGGGCTTCCAAAATAGTAGTAGTTATAAGACAGGGAGGGAGGAAGAAAAAAGAAGAAGAAGGAAAAGGAGAGGAGGAAGAAGGAAAAGAAGGAGAAGAAGGAGAAGGAAGTGGAGGAGAAAGAGGAGGAGGAGGAGAAGGAGGAGGAAGAGGAGAAAGAGGAGGAGGAGAAGGAGAAGGAGAAGGGGAAGGGGATGGGAAGAAGAAGAAGAAGAAGAAGAAGAAGAAGAGAAGAAGAAGAAGAAGAAGAAGAAGAAGAAGAAGAAGAAGAAGAAAGGATTGTGCTAAAATTAAAAGACAGATGACAGCATATCTTAAAGAGGGAAAGAAGAAAAAAAATGATGTTGTAGTACCATGTTGGCTTGTCTACATTATATACCATTAAGGCTCAGAATCTTTACTAATTCTGATCCAAATAAAGCTGTCAAATAGTAACTATTCTGCACATGCCTATATCAAAAAAATTTTAAATCAATAAATCTATCAACAAAAATTTAATAAGAGCCACTACAATCCAGGCATTGTCCTGAGCCCTAGGGATACAAAGACAAAAATTAGCAGTTACTGTCTTCAAGGCAGAGAGCAGAATATTCTATTGAGGGAGATATGAAGTACCTACAGAATATATACAAATACAATCCAAACAACACCCATCAAGTACCTAGCACTGTGCTAGATGCTATGGGAAGAAAAAAGGTGTTTGTAATCTTGTCAAGGAAACAGCACTTATAAATGTGAAATAATTGGAAAAGAAAATAAGACCATATGTAATCAGGTGCCAACAGGTGTGTAATAAAGTTTGAAAGTATTATGGGAGGCTAGGAAGGGATGCTGTGGTTGAGTTATTTTCAGAAGGAGCCCTCAAGTCTAGCCCAATGATCACTGAAAAAGTAAAAGAGTTTTTTCCATTTAACTAAACTGGGTATATTTTCTTTAGGATGACTTTCAGATTTTTAAGCATGCTTCTGCATGAGGAAGAGAGCAAAAGGTAATCATGGACTATGAAGCAGCAGAAAGTTTTGGGAAAGAAAGAAAGACGAAAGAAAGAAAGAAAGAAAGAAAGAAAGAAAGAAAGAAAGAAAGAAAGAAAGAAAGAAAGAAAGAAAGAAAGAAAGAAAGAAAGAAAGAAAGAAAGAAAGAAAGAAAGAAAGGGAGACTAGGTACTGAGCAGTCTGTTCCTTGAACAAGTCCCCCACTCCTCCATAATGGTGGAACTGATCTATTTTTGTGAAGCAGGCTAGATTCTACCCTAGCTAGGAATTTAGTGTTATCTTAAGGTACTGATTTTAAAAGAACAAATAGAGATTAAAAATTCTTATGCGTGCCCATCCCAGTGGCTCATATAAAAGAAAACCATCAGTGAGCAGAAAATATGATTATCTTAGAGGTTTTAAAAGTGATTTACAAAGTAAATTCAAAGTAGATTCACAGATGGTCAAGGGATTTTTATCTTATTAACTTTATCCTAATTCTGCCCCAGGAGCAAAAGAATACTTCAGAAACATAGGCTTTCTTAGAAAGAGGTGAGATTCTCTTTTAAATTCTCTTGCATGGGTAATGTGTTTACTCTCCTGGAAAAGAGCTGGCATCTAATAATAATAATAATAATAAATACATAAACTTTTTTTTTTTACTTCCTACTTTCTGCCAAAATTACCTCATTGGTGGACCAGAATGGACCAGAATACTATTCAGAAAATGAAAAGTGGTCACTGAAGGGATTCCATAAGAAAATATGTCCTCATGTAAGTTCCTTTTTGTTTTATACCTTAAAATATGTTGCTTGTGCCAGAAGGTGAAACACTGAGGAAGGCTGGGGAGTAGAAGGAATGAAGAGCTTCTGTCTCAGCCCTTACCCTTGCTGATGCCCTTGCTTAGCATGTGCATCTTAGTTTCTATAAGTTCTCTCAGTTCAAAGAAGCTAGAAACTGTCAGCTTTTGCTTTCCATTTCTCACTTTCAAAAAATCAGAAATTGATAGAATTCTTTGGAGTGACAATTCCCAGATCCTTCCAGAGCATCTCTCACCGCATGATCCCCAAATACTCAGACAAGTAAGACTGTCCCAGGAAGGATTAGGCAAGGCCTTTTGCCTCACAATCTCATCTCAGTAACTTATTAACACTGAATATTGCATCAGAGATTTCATTAAATATACCTTTTAAAGATGGCTTTGAGTCTAAGGAATTATTAGCCTTGCTAAAAATCGTTGCTCTAAAAGAGGAAAAACTGGAGTTTTTAAACTCAATAAGCTAAGTGGTGCAGTGAATATAGTGCTGGATACGGAGTCAGAAAGACTCATCTTTCTGAGTTCAAATCTGGCCTCAGACACTTATTAGCTTTGCGATCCTGGACAATTCACACATTTGCCTCAGTTTCCTCATCTGGAAAATGAGCTGGAGAAGGAAAGGGCAAACCACTCTAATATCGTGCCAAAAAAAACCCCAAATGGGTCATGAAGAGTCAGACATGACTAAACAATAACATCAGGGTAAGAGACAACATCCCATAGGGGAAAGAGGGCTGACCTTGGAGTCAGAAGACCTGCGTTCAAGTCCTACCTCTGAAACATAGTAGCTGGGTGACTATCCACAAGTCACTTAACCACTCAGTGCCACCAGGCATTTTCCTAAGAGTACCTTACAGAGGAGCCATTGATCTGTTTTGGTGGAGGGAATTTCTACCACAGAAGTTCCTTATATTGATGAAATCATTAGGTCCAGTTTAAAAATGTTTATATATGCAAGGCAGCAGCTAATGCTGAGTATATAAAAATAGCTGTGATGGGGACCCTGCCCTCAAGGAATTTAAAACTTAAAGGTTGGTAGGAAAAGTACACAAAAGAGAATGAG